TTTTTAAAAAAATAAATAAAAATAAAAATAAGTAAAATTGGGAGGGATATCTTGGCTGCAGAGGTCCCCCCTGAGGAGTAAGAGGTCCCAGCCTCAACCAGATACCCAACCCAGGATTCCAGTGCCAGAAAGAGGACTGGCTATAAAAACCAGGGGGGAGTGTGGCTGAGTGGAATGGAGGGCTGCCAGAATCCCAAGCAGTTCCTCTTAAAGGATCTGAACTCAGACTTAGACTCACTTTCTCTGAGCTCCAGTGCTGGGGCAGCAGCTTGGAAGGAACCAGGAATATACAGAGAGGAACTTACTTTTCTTTTTTGGCACCAGGATGAGAGTTTTCTGTCAGACAAAAATATTGGTAGAGTCCCCACACCCATAGAGCTGACAGGCATAATATCTGAGACTCCATCAACCTGGCTCACACTGTTTGCCCTGCCCTGGTGATTCCTTAAGGCTCCCTTCACCCAACCTTCAGGCTCATCCAAGCCATTTCCAGTGGCTTTTCCATACAACTGACCCCTCTTGCCTCCTGCTTCAGACTTTCCTAACAACTCTCAAGCGGCCTCTACATAGTCCATGCCTCTTGCTAAGTGCCACAGGCCCGTCACTAGCTGCAGCCTGCCTTGGTTCACAGTTCAGTCTCTCTTGGACATCTCCAAGGCCAACACAAGTAGCAGCCACCTGCAGATCTCTCTAACTATGCCCCAAGCAGGGCATAGATGATGGTTGACTTAGCACCACAGCCAGTGCATTTGTTGGACAGCTTCAGACCATACCTGATTATAACCCTACCACCTCTGTGAGAGACACACTCAAAGTGGGGAATCAGTGAGCACCAAAGCCCCACTGAAGGAGGTCATGCTCTGTAAGGTTGACTTGTGCGCAGCAGCTAGTCCTCACAGCCGTTTGTCCTGGGGATCATTCCCTCCCAGTGATGCCAACAGCAATCAGAGCTCAATTATAATGGGACAGTGCACACAGCCCACAGAGGGACATACTTAGAGCACCCAACTCGGGTGACTGGAGGATGCTTACTATATAAGGCCATTCTAAGTACAGGAGATATAGCAGCTCTACCTAATAAATAGAAACAAACATAGGGAAGCATCCAAAATAAGGAGACAAAGAAACAGGTTCCAAATGAAAATAGGATAAATCTCCAAAAAAAGAAGTAAATGAAATGGAGTCAAGAAAACTACCAGATGTAGAGTTTTTTGAAAATGGTTATAATGATGCTCAAGGTACTTAGTGAGAACTTGTAAGAACTTAGTGAGAACTTCAACAGCATGAAAAAGGACATAGAAACCATAAAAAGGAAACAGAAATGAAGGATACATAACTGGAATGAAGAATAATTACAAGAAATCAATAGTAGGTTAGATGACAATGAGAATCAAATAAGTGATTTGGAACACACGGAAGCAAAAAACACCCAATCGGAACAGCAAAAAGAAAAGATTTCAGAAATATGAAGATAGTGTAAGGAACCTCTGGGACAGCATCAGGCACATCAACATTTGCATCATGGGGGTGCCGGAAGGAGAAAGAGAACAAGAAATTGAATATCTATTTGAAAAAAATAATGATAGAAAACTTCCCTAACCTGGTGAAGGAAATAGACATACAAGTCCAGGAAGTACAGCATCCCAAACAAGATGAACCCAAAGTGGCCCACACCAAAACACATAAGTAAAATGCAAAAAAAGACTAAGAATCTTTTTTTTTTAAGCTAAATTGTTTTTAAATGTTTTTATTGAATATTTTAGAGAGAGAAAGGGAGATGGAGAGAGAAACATCGATGAGGGGGACATTGATCAGTTGCTGCCTGCACATCCCCTACTGGGAATCGAGCCTACACCTGGGTGTGTGATTTGACCAGAAATGGAACTGTGGTTCCTGGGTCGATGCTCAACCGCTGAGCCACTCCAGGTAGGCCAAAGAGAATCTTAAAAGCAGCAAGAGATAAGCAGTTACCTACAAGGGAGCTTCCCCATATGCCTGTCAGCAGGTTTCTCAGCATAAACATTGCAGGCCAGAAGGGACTGGCAAGAAATAGTCGAAGTGAAGAAAAGCAAAGAATTATAACCAAGATTATCCAGGAAAGCTATCATTTAGAATTGAGGACATATACAGAGCTTCTCAGACAAAAAGCTAAAGGAGTTGATCACCGCCAAACTACTATTATATGAAATGTTAAAGGGTCTTTATTTTATTGTTAATATATTTTTTATTTATTTCAGAGAGGAAGGGAGAGATATCATTATAAATGATGAGAGAGAATCACTGATCGGCTGCCTCCTGCACGCCCCACTAGGGATTGAGCCCACAACCCAGGCGTGTGAACTCCTAGGTTGACACTCAACCACTGAGCCACGCCAGCCAGGCTAAAGGTTTTTTAAAAAGAAGGGGAGAAAAAGGTGAAGGGATTTAGAAGTACAAATTGGTAGTTACAGAATATTCATGGAGGTGTAAATTATGTAAGAGATTAGCCAAAGAACATATATGCATAGCCCATGAACACTGACAACAATGTGAAGGCCGGGGGAGGGGAGTGCTGGGTGGAGGAAGGATAATGGGGGACATGTGTAATAGTGCCAACAATAAAGAAAAAAATGTAAGAAAATGAAATCTTATCACCTCCCAAAAAACAAATTACAAAGTATGACATCAGAAATAAAGGAAAAGGTTACATCAATGAAACAATAACCAGATACTATATTTTTATTTGTTTATTTTTAATCTTCACCTGAGGATATTTTTCCATTGATTTTTTTAAAATATATTAAACCCAGGTACATGCCCTTGACCGGAATCGAACCTGGGACCTTTCAGTCCACAGGCCGACGCTCTATCCACTGAGCAAAACCAGCTTTGGCCACATACTATATTTTTTGAAGGGCACATTAAGAGAATGGGAGAGCTTATTAGGAATAAATATATAATAAATATAAAAATCTCAGAAAAGTTGGGAAGTAGAATTTACTAAATCTCTCAGAAAATAATGCAAAAAGACAAGTTAGAAAATGGGAGTGAGAAACATTTAGGGGATTGGTCTAAGACAGCCGTGGGCAAACTACTGCCCGCGGGCCGGATCCAGCCCGTTTGAAATGAATAAAACTAAAAAAAAAAAGACCGTACCCTTTTATGTAATGATGTTTACTTTGAATGTATATTAGTTCACACAAACACTCCATCCAGGCTTTTGTTCCGGCCCTCCGGTCCAGTTTAAGACCCCACTGTGGCCCTCGAGTCAAAAAGTTTGCCCACCCCTGCCCTATAGCAAACGCGATGGTCTCCCCACACCCGGAGGAGGCTACCCTCTGCTGTGTTGAGCTGCAGGGGTCCCGGGCAGCTGTGTCTAGAAACTGGGTGGCCAAGGGTGCTACCCAGGGCCCTGAGCCGCCCTGGCTGTAGGTGTGACATCAGCAGAATTCCCAGGCGCTACGCTCGCCCGTGCCTGCCCGGGAGGCACATGGTGGTGGAGGACACGCATCTGGGGGGGTTGAATGAAGCCCGGGAGCTCCCGCAGGCTCTCGGGCAGGGACCTCATTTGGCTCAGTAACGGCAGCTCCTGGTCCCGGGCCAGCACCACTGAACCTTGGCAGTTTGTTTCAGCCCTCCGGTCCAGTTTAAGAACCCATTGTGGCCCTCGAGTCAAAAAGTTTGCCCACCCCTGGTCTAAGATACATAGCATCCACATAATTCCAAACAAAGAACATGGTGAAAAGGAAATCATTGATGCAATAAAGAAAAATTTCAGAGCTTAAGTATAGAAGTTTTCTTGTTAAAGGATAGGTTGAATGCCCAGAGTCATAGATGAAAATAAACCTACAGAATATTGATAAATATATAATAAAACCTTAATATGCAAATTGACCAAACTACTGAACGATTGGCCGAACAACTGGTTGCTGTGATGTGCACTGACCACCAGGGGGCAGACGCTCAACGCAGGAGCTGCCCCATACTGAGAGGGAGGTGACTGGCGGTGGTGATTGGGGGCAGAGCTGGACAGCGGGGCAGCGCCAGGCCTCCAGCCAAGGCAGGTGCCAGCATGGCCCTCCGATCACCCCACCCACTGGTCATCCCACAGATGGCCCTGGATTGAGAGAGAGATGTCCAACTGCTGGTTTAGGCCTGACATCCCCCGAGGGGTCCTGGATTACAAGAGGACACAGGCCAGGCTGAGGGACCCCCTCCACCCCAGTGCACGAATTTACATGAATTTCATGTACTAGTCCTCTAGTATATTATAAAATTTCATAATTGTCCAGTTGGTGTGGCTCAGTGGTTAAGCATCAACCTATTAGCTAAGACAGTGGTCGGCAAACTGCGGCTCGGCAAACCACCGCTCGTGAGCCACATGTGGCTCTCTGGTCCCTTGAGTGTGGCTCTTCCACAAAATGCCGACTTCTGCACATGGGCCACGAAGTTTCAGTTGCATAGTATGTGCACGCCCGCACGTGGTATTTTGTGCAGCCAAAGTGGGGAGACAAAGAAACATGTCCCAAATGAAAGAACAGGAGAACTCTCCAGGAAAAGAGCTAAATGAAATGGACGCAAGCAGTTTATCATATATAAGGATGTAGAGAATAGAGAAATTATTTCTAACTTGGAATTTATAGCCAGTCAAACCGTCAGCTATTTCTGATGGTAGAATGGGACATTTCCAGGCATTTTACCTCCCAAACTCCCTTTCTCAGGAAGGTGTTGACAGAGGTGTTCCACTAAAATGAGCAAGACATGGGAAACAAGGCCCAGTTTTACAGAGTCCAAGTGCAGGAACAGGGCATAGTGCTTTGATAGATAGAGATCGCTGATAAGATGATGTGTTTGTTCATCCTCACCAGAGGATATTTTTTCCATTGGTTTTGTTTGTTTGTTTTGAGAGAGAGTGGCAGAGACAGGGAAGGGGGAGCGACAGAAAGAGAGAAACATAAATTGGTTGCCTGCTGCATGCACCCCCACCGGGAAAAGGTATCAGCCTACAACTGAAGTACGAAGTACGTGCCCTTGACCAGAATCGAATATTCAACCCTTTAGTCTGCGGACCAAAGCTCTAACCCTTGAGCCAAACCAGCTAGGGCTAAATATTTAGTTTGTTTGGTTTTTTGTTAATCCAAGATGATGTGTTTTAAATCTCCTCTCAGTAGACATTTGGGGAAAGGGTTTAATGATGAATTAGCAGTAAATACAGAGCAGTAAGCAAAACAGAAAATAAAAAGATAGAAAATCTTAGTGTACTGTATGGTCCAGATGTGATAACATTTACACCATTCAAGTAATATAAACACTGAATTAGATCTAATAAAAATTATAATATTGAGAGAGTAGGATAATGTGAAGGATTCGCATATGTGTAGAGAGTGGGGGTAAGTGAGAATGTCATCGTCTGTTATTCCTGTTACTTGGAGTTATAAAGATAAGCATCATGAGAGAGTAAACAAAAAACAAGTGAAAGAGGTAGTGGATCAAGAGACAAGTTTTATTTATTTTTTTAACAATAAGTTTTGTAACCCTGGCCAGTTTGGCCCAGTGGATGGAACGTCGACCTGCAGGCTGGGGGGCCCTGGATTCAATTCCGGTCAGAGGCACATGCCCAGGTTGTGGGCTCAGTTCCCAGTGTGGGGCGTGCGGGAGGCAGCCAATCAATAATTCTCTCTCATCATTGATATTTCTCTCTCTCTCTCTCCCTCTTTCTTTCTCTCTGAAATCAATCAAAATATATTTTTTTAAAAAACAATGCTTAAAAAAGTAAGTTTTGTAAATGATGAGAATATGTAACTTTGATTTCATCAATCTCCAGTAACTACTGGATAATATCCAATGACCATCACAGTTTTATTTCTCTACTTTTTCAAACCCCTATTTTTGCTCTACCTAACAACTATTAATACTCCTATAATGATGGCATTCTTCAGTCTTTGTCTCTGTCCTACAATTTCTTCAAAACAGACCTATCTGCCTAGTGAGGCCTTTCTTAATTGTTCAGATTACCCCTTCTTAAATATCTTACCTTTATTTACATATAAATCCTGTTTCTGTGGCTAGATTATAAACCTCTCCAGAGTAGAGGCTGGGCCTTACCTTTTGCATCTTTATAATCTGGTACCTAGCATATTGTCTTTTACATAGTCTATGTGTTTATTGATTTATGTAATTGTAACATAGAAATGGGAAGTTGACATATGAGTCAAGTTTCACTTAACATTTGTAATGAAATTACATTTAGACAGAATTTTGTTTACTTTTTCTTTTAGCTGTGTAAAAAACAGTTTCAGTACAGTGCCTCATTGAGAGCACACCTTATTCGACATACCAGAAAAGTTGCACCCTCTTCATCGTCTTCCAATTTCACATCTAATGAGGCATCAGGAACATCGTCTGAGAAGGGCAGAACCAAACGAGAATTTATATGTTCCATATGTGGAAGGACATTACCTAAATTATATTCTCTTCGAATACATATGTTAAAGCACACTGGTGTAAAGCCACATGCATGCCAGGTAAAGCCGTAACATTTATTTTGTTATGTAAAGAAGATTGGAATTTAAGTGGTGATAAGACTGGTTGATTCTAGAGTCACCCTTACTCTTAAAAAATGTCACAAGGAATTCTATGACATTTTTAGTTTGTTGCCTGGATAAAGGGTGATTCCTAATTGTGTTCTTTAATTTGTTGTTTAATTTATTGTAATTTGAAATGAATCTATTTAGGATGTTCATGGAATTCATTAAGATTCAGGGGATGTATGGGTGAGAATCATCATCCCAGTCATCGCTTAGCCTGCAGCAGGACTAATCTGGACTCAAAAGGAACCCAGGGTTGAGACCAGCCGGGAGCAAACTACGGCCCACGGGCCGGATCCGGCCCATTTGAAAAGAATAAAACTAAAAAAAAAAAAAAGACCATACCCTTTTATGTAATGATGTTTACTTTGAATTTATATTAGTTCACACAAACACTCCATCCATGCTTTTGTTCCAGCCCTCCGGTCCAGTTTAAGAACCCATTGTGGCCCTCAAGTCAAAAAGTTTGCCCACCCCTGGTTTAGGCAAATCTTCACAAAATCCTGCATGCGCTATGTATCCACTAATGTTGAGGTCTGAGGGTACAAATCTCAAAATATGACTCCTAAGTAAATAATTCTGTGATTAGCAACTTTAGGCTATTCTCTCTCTCTCTCTCTCTCTCTCTCTCGTTTTTGTTTTGTTTTAGCTTTTTCTTATATGAGAATACAATATAATACAAGAGAATAAAAGAGGTCCTATGTACCCTTCATCCAGATTCAATAGTTATCAACATAGGGTCAGTTGTCGAACTAAGTATTAATTTGGCCTCTGGTCTTCTAGTATAGCACTACTCAAAATGTGTGGTCTATGGAAGATAACTACAGAAATGAGAATAAGCTTTTAAAAACTGTTATGGCAATTTGACATTGTTGTGACATTTTTATTGTATTTAACAAAATCTCTTCCCCAGTGGATTGCGGTGGCCTGGGAGAGGGGAGGAGAGACTGGTTCTTCATCGCAGAGTTTGAGGAGCACTGTTCTAGTTGGTGTAGCAGGAAATTAGTATATATATATTTTATTGCACTTCCATATCTCTTTTTTTATATATATATTTTATTGATTTTTTTACAGAGAGGAAGGGAGAGAGATAGAGAGTTAGAAACATCGATGAGAGAGAAACGTCGATCAGCTGCCTCCTGCAGGTCCCCCACTAGGGATGTGCCCGCAACCCAGGTACATGCTGTTGACCGGAATCGAACCCGGGACCTTTTGGTCCGCAGGCCGATGCTCTATCCACTGAGCAAAACCGGTTTTGGCATTCTATATCTCTTTTAATATAGCTTATATACTGTTTAATCTCTCAAGGACAGCATAAGGTTTTTTTTTTTTGTACTGCTTTGAACTCTGCCAGTGATCACATGGTTATAAGAAAAATAGCAATATTTTGGAATCAGAAGATCAACCAGCTAATATCTTTGGCATTTGTTTCAACTTTCACTTTGTTATTTTGTTTAAAATTTAAATTTTTAATTTAAAGTGGCATCCAGGTTTCTCTATCTTCATTCTTCAGAACCAGCTTCTATCTGCTTTTCTGTTTTACTGTTTTAAATACCTGTGCTGTCTTAGGTCTGTGGAAAGACTTTCATCTACAAGCATGGTCTAAAATTACACCAGAGTCTCCATCAATCACAAAAGCAGTTCCAGTGTGAACTATGTGTTAAGTCATTTGTTACCAAACGGAGTCTTCAAGAACATATGAGTATTCACACAGGTAATGAGGAATTTATATTGATATAATTCCTGGGTGGGACAAAAGTAGGTTTATAATTGTGAGCATGGGTAAGAGTTTATTCTTGTATTTATTAATTACTATATTATTTTCCATAGGAACAACTGTAAACCTACTTTAAACCCACCCTGTGCATATTATATACTACTAATTTACTATTATATTGATTATGCGGTGATTATTTCAGAAATCACATTGATATACTGATGGCTATATGTGTGCAGTGTTTCATTAATGAGAGTAAAGCTAAAAGATCTTCTTAAATCTAGTTTTAGAGCTATCTTATTTGTGTAAAAATATTCATTGTTTCCCTCAGTATAGAAAAATGCATACTGAATATTAAATCATGTGTAATTTATTTACTTTTTAAATATATTTTTATTGATTTCAGAGACGAAGGGAGAAAGAGAGAGAGAGAGACATCAACGATGAGAGAGAATCATTGATCTCTCTGCACACCCCACTTTGGGGATTGAGCCAGAAACCTGGGCATGTGCCCTGACCAGGAATCGAACCATGACCTCCTGGTTCATAGGTTGATGCTCAACCACTTGGCTACACCAGCCGGGAAAATCATGTGTAATTTAGATGGAGGCACCTAAAGAAATAGACATGCTTTTAAAAAGTTACGCAGTAGGCAAATGTAACTGTCAGCATGCTTTGTGTCTTATAATTTCATTAGAATTTTTATTTTACAAATGCTTATTTTCAAATGCTCAAAGCAGTTATGTGGAAATGGTTGATGAAGGGTAGATATCTCCTCTAGAACTTGTATTCAACTCTTACTATTACATTCCAGATGACTATGAAGTGTAGCACATTCTTGGGCTAGCAGTAGCCTTGCTAGCACTGTAGTTGAGAGGAAATAGGGATTTCTTAAAATATATTTTATTGATTTTTTACAGAGAGGAAGGGAAAGGGATAGAGAGTTAGAAACATCAATGAGAGAGAAACATCGATCAGCTGCCTCCTGCACACCCTCCACTGGGGATGTGCCTGCAACCAAGGTACATGCCCTTGACTGGAATCAAATCTGGGACCCTTGAGTCCGCAGACCAACGCTCTATCCACTGAGCCAAACCGGTCAGGGCAGGAAATAGGGATTTTGATGTGGTTTGTTGTTATTCTTAGAAGGTGGCTGCCAAATGTTTTATCTTCTGTGTCCCTTTGATAGAATAACCTCTGAAATATGAAATAAGATATTCTATTGGAAGAGCACATGATTGTTGGATTTGTGACATGGTTTTATTTTTACAGGAGAGTCCAAGTACCATTGCTCAGTTTGTGGAAAGTCTTTTCACAGGGGCTCTGGACTCAGCAAGCACCAAAAGAAGCACCAGCCAAAGCCTGAGGTTCGAGGCTATCACTGTACTCAGTAAGTGTTTAATGGGTGAACCACTCAATTAATTTCCTTATGTTCGTGCTAGATTTGTTTGAGAGTTGTTTTCAGAAAAAAATATTTGAGGTGGCTGTAGTTGATAACCACCTGCATTGTATAGTTGAAATTTGCTAAGAGAGTGGAACTTACACACACCACACACACACACACACACACACACACACACACACACACACACACACACGTGTATCCAAGGGGCTAGATGTGCTAATTAACTAGATGGAGGGAATCCTTTCACAATGTAGTATACATATATCAAGTTATCATTTACACTTTAAATATCTTTAAATTTTTTTGTCAATTATACCTCAATAAAGCTGGAGAAAAAAGAAAATATTTCAAAATAATATTAAACTGTTGTTTCTTCTTGATTTTAATCCCTTTTTTGCCTAGATATTTCTACTTATTATTTTTAAAAGTTTTATTTAAATATAAATCACATACTATGCAAATCCCCATTTAAGATGATTTAGGCTGCCCACCTGGCCCGACTACGCTTACGGGGGTCACTGCTGCCGCAGCCCTGAAGCCAGAGGTCCAGGGGTCCTCCCCCCCACAGGGCCCCTGGCGTAGGGACTACGCCCCTCCTGCCATCCCATGTCCAAGCTGAACCATAGGCACCTGGGTACTCCAGAAGGCACATGAGACAGCCTTCCTCTCCTGGTTTCTAAATGGCCTCCTGGCATCCAGCATCGGGGTCATCCTTCATGCAGAGTGGCATGGGTTGCAAAGCTGCCTCTGGCTTCTTCCTGCTGGGCTGCCTGTGGGTGGGGGTGTAACCACAGGCGTGGGCACCGATCTGGCCCCTGGCCTGCTCTGGGCCTGTGCTGTGGGCATCCACATGGGTCAGCTGGAGCTGGACATGGAACTGGTGCCCATTGAAGCTGGCGGCTTGAGTGAGCAGCAGGGCCTGGGGGAATGGCCTGGTGCTTGACACCAGTCCAAGGACCAGGACATTAGAACCTGACCCTTCCACCACAAAATAAATATATGGGACTTAAAGAGAGCCTTCAAATACAGTACCTGGCACCATGTGGTCTGTAGGGAAGAATGATCCCTGGAGCAGCCAGAGTTTCTCAAAGTGCTGGGCCCTCTGCTAGTCATCCTTCCTTTTAGACTCCTTTTCTTTCTGCCTCTCTTGATTTTCCCAAAACCTCCTGAAATTGTTTTTTTTAATTGAGGTAAAATTCATGTAACATAAAATTCATCACTTTAAAGTGTATAATTCAGTGGCTTCTAGTATATTCACAGTGTTGTGCAAACATTGCCACTTTCTTTTTTAAAAAATATGTTCTTATTGATTTTTAGAGTGAGGAAGTGAGGATTAGAGAGAGGTAGAAGCATTGATGAGAGAGAATCATTATCAATCATTGGCCTCCTGCACACTCCTTACTAGGGATCAAGCCCACAACCCGGGCGTGTGCCCTGACCAGGAATTGAACTGTGATATCCTGGTTTATGGGTTGATGCTCAACCACTGAGCCACACCAGCCGGGCAGCATTCCACTTTCTAATGACAGAATGCCTTCAGCACTCAGCCAGGCAGTTCACAACTGCGTCTTGGCTTGCTGAGTCAACCAGAGGTGAGAGCTTAGGGCCTTTTCAGGTCTTCCCTGAGTGTGTGCACAGCCCTGAGAAAGTGTGTGGACTTCTAGATTCCCAGGAATGCGTGAGAGTTTTTCAAAGCCCCTATTCCCCAAAGCATTTTTCCTCCAGTTGACAGGCTGTCAGTTGCTCCATCCTTATAGTTAATGTGAGGCCTACTCCCAACACATGGAGAGAGAATGGGGATGGTAAAGAAGATCAGATGGGACTGAGGAGGAGACAAAAAGTGTATGTCCTCTCTAGTAACCTTTGGGAGGTCTGCATGATTCTTTCTAAAGGTTTCTAGGTAGGGCCAAAAGAACTTAACATCCTGCGGCCTTATTACAGGGTTGGAGTACTAGTGAACATCTTTTGTCTTAAATTGGGATCATCTTGTGGAGTTCTAGAAACCCAAGAATATACTAAATTCTTGGAAGCTTGTTTTAAAAGAATAATATGATGATCCAGTTGGGTGATTGAATTTTATTATTGCAGATGTGAAAAAAGTTTCTTTGAAGCTAGAGATCTTCGTCAGCACATGAACAAACATCTTGGTGTGAAGCCATTCCAGTGCCAATATTGTGATAAGTGCTATAGTTGGAAGAAAGATTGGTATTCCCATGTGAAGTCTCATTCTGTCACTGAACCTTACAGGTGAGTAAATCTGAGGAGGATCCGAAATGTATATAATTTTTTTTTCACACACCTATACTTGGATTAATTCTTATGGATGCTGATGCTTTTAATCCTCCCCCCTCCATTTTAGATGTAATATATGTGGCAAAGAATTTTATGAAAAAGCATTGTTCAGAAGGCATGTAAAGAAAGCTACCCATGGGAAAAAAGGAAGAGCAAAGCAAAACCTAGAACGGGTGTGTGAAAGATGTGGAAGAAAATTCACTCAACTGAGAGAGTATAGGAGACACATGAACAATCATGAAGGTAACTATATAGCTATATAATACAGATAAATATAGAGAGAATAAAAGACAATCCAATACTGATACTCCTTTTATCAATCCTCTCATTTATTACCTCACCTTCCTTGATAAGCGATGTATTCCATATCATAGAAGTTTTTTTCAAGTGATAGGGGTGATTCTAAACCTGAGTATCTAACATAGCTTAATATTCTCTATCAACATTTTCATGGGCTACTTGGAGCCTGTTTTCTTTTCTTTTTTAAAAAAAATATATACTTTATTGATTTTTTACAGAGAGGAAGGGAGAGGGATAGAGAGTTAGAAACATCAATGAGAGAGAAACATCAATCAGCTGCCTCCTGCACACCCCCTACCAGGTATGTGCCCGCAACCAAGGTACATGCCCTTGACCAGAATCGAACCTGGGACCGTTGAGTCCGCAGGCCGACGCTCTATCCACTGAGCCAAACCAGTTAGGGCTCTTTTTTTTAATATAGAAGCTCAATGATGAGAGAAAATCATTGATTGGCTGCCTCCTGCACCCACAACCCGGGCATGTGCCCTCCTAGTTCATAGTTTGATGCTCAACCACTGAGCCATGCTTCTGTTTTCTTATTCTAGGATTATAGGATTGCTGTGAAGGTCAAGTGACACCTTGCATAGAAACTCAGAATTGCCTCTCAGTAACTTCTATCCATGTGCACTGCTTAGAGAGATTATTTTCCAGAATCTCGTTTATTCTAAGGTGAACCATTAGGTCCTAAATTAAAAATTGCCACCCTAACCGGTTTGGCTCAGTGGATAGAGCGTCAGCCTGCGGACTCAAGGGTCTCAGGTTCGATTCCGGTCAAGGGCATGTACCTTGGTTGTATTTTTTTAAAAATTGCCATAGGTAAGATAGAAAGACTTATGGACTACTGTATTTTAATAAAAGCATTATTTATCAGGCAACTTTAATATATTTTGGTACTTGCACACCTCACCACACACACACATCTCTTCTCTTTTTTTAAAAATAGGAGTTAAGCCATTTGAGTGCTTAACATGTGGAGTGGCTTGGGCTGATGCCCGGTCTCTAAAGCGCCATGTCCGAACCCATACTGGTGAGCGGCCCTATGTGTGCCCTGTGTGCAGCGAAGCCTACATAGATGCCCGGACACTCCGAAAACATATGACCAAGTTCCACAGAGACTATGTGCCTTGCAAAATTATGCTGGAAAAAGATACCCTTCAGTTTCATAACCAAGGAACTCAGGTGGAGCATGCTGTTAGCATCCTAACAGCAGACATTCATGAACAGGAAAGCAGCGATCCTCAAGAACTTGAGACTGTGGTAGTGACGGGAGAAACTATGGAAGCTCTTGAAGCCGTTGCAGCTACTGAAGAGTATCCATCTGTATCTACACTCTCTGACCAAAGTATTATGCAGGTGGTTAATTATGTGTTGGCACAACAGCAAGGACAGAAGTTATCTGAAGTTGCAGAAGCTATTCAAACTGTTGAAGTAGAGGTGGCACATATTTCAGAAGCAGAAGGAATATAGTCATGGAAATTTTAAAAAGTGACATCTCATGGATACTGAACTCAGAACATTTGTTTACAATACTATGTGACTCTCTACCTAGATTTTGTATGTGAAGATTCTGGGCTGTTTGATGATGTTTTAACATTTCTGATTGGTTTGTCCAGCTAAAGTCCATTTACTGTAAAGAAATTGAAAATATCTGTTTGATGGCAGTGGTTTATTATGGTATACATTTTATGAATTAATGTGTGTAAAGGATTATAGTAAATGAAAAACTGTACAGTTTCATTTGCATTTTGACATTGTTATATACTTTGAGTTTAAAAGGCTGCACCAGTAAGCTTTTCTTCTCTTTTGTTCTCAAAATATAGAAGATTTGTGATTTCATTTGCCTTTTTATAGATTTAAAATTCTAATATAAAGCATTTTACTCAGATGAATAGGTATATTACATTTTTTAAATGCTTCAAATCTGTGATTCTTGATTTACTATTTATTTTAAGCCCTTATAAGTCAGGGATTCTTTATTTTATTTTAAAGCACTTAATGAGTTACATATTGTAATCAAGTTTGCACAGTATACTTATCTATTTGGGGCACCTTTAAATGAATAGCTAATTTTAAATATGCCATTAAAATGCATGAAATGCCTATTAAAGCCTTACTATACTCTCTCTTCAAGGCAAGTAAAAGACCATAAAACAAAGAATACTGTTATTAAGCTCTGTTGATAAAAAAAATTTCTCCTGAATAACAATACATGGGCGGGGGTGGGGTGTGGAAAAAAACTAATTCTTTTGCTGAAAAATGAACAAGTTAAAACTAGGTTTGGTTTGTTTGCAGCTTTTGTATCATGTTTTCTTTTGTTTGTTGTTTTCTGCCCCCCCCCTCCTTTTTTTGGTTTTTTTTTTGGTATCATGTTTAATTGTTCAATTTTGTTGAAAAATTGCAATTTAGAAATAGGATAACAATGTGGGCATCTATGGTGGTCCTGTGGATATCATATAATTAATTGTACAATAACTTCAGAATATTGAAAAGTCTTCAATTCCGTTCTCATTATAGTATACTACTACTTAAAGTAATTATGGTCCACCAAATTTTTGAAAGTATATTATAAAAAGTTACCTGAGATTTAAATTAATTTGTGTTTTTGATTTTTAAATTCCCACCTTAAGCTATCTTATTTTTTTATTTTCTGATTTTCAAAATAACCATTTCTCTCCTCTGGGAAGCTACCACTCAAGCTATAATTGTTAAAATCAAACAAGTATTAAAAGCTAATATAAGGTATAAAATTAAGATTATAAGCAAATCATATATAAATCATTCCTAAAGCACAGGAAAATAATGTGCCTTGATGTACATATATTAAGATACTTATCCAGTTCACTTTAAAAAATGGCTTCATAGATAAAGAATTAATGTGATGCCATGCATGCATTATACTTGTATATGTAATATTTGTATTTGCAAATTTCCCATTATTTCAATAGTTGTGTGGCTGACTTTCAGTTTTAAGTGAATTGACACACAATCTATAACTCTTATGATGGCTGTTTGTTTATTGTATCTTTTGGTTAGTGAAAATGTATTTCAACCTAAAATTTGAAATTGTGTCTTTTATGTTTCATTCCCAGCATTGTTATTAGATTTAGTTAATTGTACATGGCCATTGATGTATGTCATAAACATGTAAATAAAAGATGTTGAATCTTGTTTAAAAGCATAAGCTTTGGAGTTGAGCTGGTCACTATTTTCAATTCATAAATCAATTGCTGTTATTTTATCTGTTACCAAGTTAATCTATTTTTTTTTCAGCTGCCTTTTGCACACTCCCCTACTAGGGATGTGCCTGCAACCAAGGTACATGCCGTTGACCAGAATCGAACCTGGGACCCTTGAGTCCGCAGGCCGACTCTCTATCCACTGAGCCAAACCGGTCAGGGCAGTTAATCTATTTTTTAAAGGAAAGAGGAATTGAACACATTAAAAAAGAACCATTTGGGGAACACATAATACTAAAACTTCTTGCTCTTAAACATAATCTAATCACAAAATTTAGTGTGATTGCCAACTTTGGATAATTCAAATGTGTAGAATTACATAAATTGCATGTAGAAATCAGTGTTAAATTTCCAAAGATATGGTTACATATTGTCATAGAGGGAACTTCTATATTTATAAGGATTTCTTTTTAGAAATGCTTTGTTGTCAGATGACTTTCCACAAACTGTGTGGGTATCCCCTGGTTAAATTTGCTTGTTACTGCCCTAGCTGGTTTGGATCAGTGGATAGAGCGTTGGCCTGTGGACTGAAGGGTCCCGGGTTTGATTCTGGTCAAGGGCACATGCCTGGATTGTGGGCTCGATCCCCAGTAGGGGGCATCATTCAGGAGGCAGCCAATCAATGATGGTTTCTCATCGATGTTTCTATCCCTTCCTCTCTCAAATCAATAAAAATACATTATTAAAAATAATTTGTTACTACTGCTGCTAAGCAGTTTGTATCATTGCTGTCACTGATGTGTATGTGTCAATAGAAATGAATTAACTGTTATCCAGTTTGGCTCAATGTATAGAGCATCGGCCTGTGGACCAAAGGTTCCAGGTTTGATTTCGGTCAAGGGCACATACCGCAGTTGCAGGCTTCCCCTTGGTCAGGGCACATGCAAGAGTCAACCAATCAATGTGTCTCTCGCACGTCTGTTTCTCTCTGTCTTTCCCTCTCTCTTCCACTCTCTAGAAATCAATGGAAAAATATTCCCGGGTGAGAATTAATTTTTTAAAAAAAGCATTCTAAATGGTGAAATATTTAAATTTTTTCTATGATTGAAAATAAGACCCATCAACAATGCAAAATTCCCTTGTTAATTTAAATAGTTTGGATTGTCTACATACCTAATTATGTCATCTGCAAATAATGACGTATTTCTCCTATTTCAATTCTAGCTTGCCTTATTGCTCTGTATTGGATGTCTAGTACAATGTTAAAAAGATGTAATAGTGGCCTCCTTGTCTTTTTTCCAGTCACAGAGTGAAAATCAGCTACACATGGGGTAGATAGCTTCAGGGTGGGGGGCTTATTGCCAAAAAACCAACCATGTGAATAAGAGGTTTGAACTTAGGCAACCACTGCCCCCAGCCTCCAGGGGAGTGGAGAGAGTGGCTGGAGATTGAACTCAATCAGTGCGATCACTAATGCATTAATCCAATCAGTCATGCTCATGAAAGGAAACCTCAGCAAAAGCTTAAGAGGCTCAGAGGGTTTCCTGGTTGGTGAACCAGTGGGTGGCTCACCCTGAAGGGCCAGAAGCGTCTGCTCTGAGATAAGGCCTGGGTAAGTGCGGTTGAGAGGGAGCTCCCTTCTGCCCTCCAACCCCCACTTGTCCAACAGAGGTTCTTATTTGGGCAAAGTGAGCTGAGAAGACAGACCTTGACCACCCTTGTGTCTGACCATGAGGAGGTGGTCCAAGCTGAGAGGACCTCAGGCTGCTGCCATCCCTTTCACCAAATGTTCGGTTTGCAGAGCAGCATGTCACTCAGAAACTTGCCAGTGCCCCCACCTCCAGATTCAGAGCCCTGGCTCAGAGAGAGGAGCAGACTGTAAAACAGAGCTCCTAATCTCTTCCAAAGACTGACTTCATTTGCCGTGGAGTCTGAAGACATGGAAGCCTAAGGGGCACTCTCGAGCTCAGTGGAGGTTAAGGTGAGAGGCAATTGGGAGGAGATTCAAGGTACATGATACGCTGAAGGCCTGCTAGTGTGTACGACAGAACTAGGAAATGCAACAGATGGGAGGAGCCCTCCTGGAATCAGAACACATTTTGATCTCAGAAATTAAAAATATTTTTTTGTTGATTTCAGAGAGGAAGAGAGAAACATCAATGATGAGCGAGAACCATTGATAGACTGCCTCGCACGTCCTCTACTGGGGATTGAGTCCACAACCCGGGAATGTGCCCTGACTGGGAATCAAACCATAACCTCTTGATTCATAGCTCGATGCTCAACCACTGAACCTGCCAGCTGGGCAGACATTATTTTTTCAAAGGAACCACAATGTGATTATATTGACTAGTTTGTAACTTATTGTCCTAATAATCTAATCCCAGGGTGTTATTCAAAATAATTTAGCAATTAGCCAGCAATTAGTGGTGTTTAGTAGCTGGGTGCGATCATGGAAAGAGAGGAAGAGAGCACTATCAAAATCATTGTCGCCGTAAACGGTTTGGCTCAGTGGAAAGAGCATCAGCCTGCGGACTGAAGGGTCCCAGGTTCGATTCCAGTCAAGGGTATGTACCTGAGTTGCAGGCACATCCCCAGTAGGGGGCGTGCATGAGGCAGCTGAATCAATGTTTCTATCTCATCGATGTTTCTAACCCTCTATCCCTTTCCCTTCCTCTCTGTAAAAAATCAATAAAATATATTTTTTTAAAAAATCATTGTCCTCCCAGGGTAACTAAGCATACTTACAGCTGCACCACCCTGTGGGAAACATCCGAGGCTTAGACAGTAGAAGGGGAAATAGACTTCACTGAAATAATTCAGCTTGTGGCCAAACAAGCAAATAACAATAACCTGGCCTTGGGAGGGGAAGGGCAGGGGACCAGTACCCATTGTTGCCATGATATACTATCTAAAATGTCCAATTGCAGCCCAGCCAGTATGGTTCTCAATGGTTGAGCTTCGACCAATGAACCAGGAAGTCACAGTTCGATTCTGGTCAGGACACATGACCAGGATGTGGGCTCGATCCCCAGTGGGGGATGTGCAGGAGGCAGCTGATGGGTTGATGATTCTCATCATTGATGTTTCTATTTCTCCTTCTCCCTTCCTGTATGCTTGTTCTAACTTGTTCTATCAATTACAAAGAGTAGTTTATTAAACTATCCCTGTATAAATTTGTATTGGCCTATTTACTCTTTTAATTCTGGCAATTTTTGCTTTATATATCTTTTTAAAAATATATATTTTATTGGTTTTTTACAGAGAGGAAGGGAGAGGGATAGAGAGTAAGAAGCATCGACGAGGCCCTAACCGGTTTGGCTTAGCAGATAGAGCGTCGGCCTGCGGACTCAAGGGTCCCAGGGTCGATTCTGGTCAGGGGCATGTGCCTTGGTTGCGGGCACAGCCCCAGTGGGAGTTGTGCAGGAGGCAGCTGATCGATGTTTCTCTCTCATCAATGTTTCTAACTCTCTATCCCTCTCTCTTCCTCTCTGTGAAAAATCAATAAAGTATATTAAAAAAAAAAGAAGCATCGATGAGAAACATTGATCAGCTGCTTCCTGCTCACCTCCTACTTGCTTTATATATCTTGAAGCTGTTTTGGTACATATAATGTAGAATTATGCATTCTT